TTGTTCTTTAGTTAGTATAGGATATGCAATATTAACATATTTTATTAGTGTTAATATATGGGTTTTTAAAAATATTGTTCTTAAGTGGATATGCATTTTTTCTTATATAATGTCAAAATAAAGACCTTTTACTAAAATTATTTGGACATTACAATATCCCAAAGAGAAAGCAGTAGGAATAATATGGTATTTATTCCCATTATATATATGGAGAAAGTGTCACAGTTAGATTAAATTGCACAGTAAGGCAATATTTGTGTAAAGCCTTGAAATCAAGGCTAATAATTCTTATATTTTTATATTCTATCAATGTGGTTATATTTGCCCTTACTTACAGCTACAAATTTTAACTCAGTTTTGCAGTGGCGTGAACAAAGGCTAATGGTGGTGTCCTCACTGGTGAAAAACATTTAAATAATTCTAATTTTTAACCATTTCAGTTAATATTAATTGCATTTGGCTGTCAATCATCGTTTGGAAATGATTAACCAGGATCACTTTGATGAATGGAGTCATATTCTGCTAATATATTATTTTAAAAACATGACTTCATTTTTTACCTGACAAAACACTCAGATAGGCCTTGTTTCTGGAAGACAGGGGTGTGAAACAAAGAGAACACTAACTGCTGTGAATAATAAAGGAAAAAAGATGGAGGTCCTCTGGTTGCCCAGGAAGGAGGATCTGAGGAGACTGGACTAAAAAAGGAAGAGAGATGAGAAATTGAAACTGAACGAGAGAGGAAGAGGCTTAGGAGCTTGTCCAGTGAGACAAAGTAGTGGCCAAGCACACCTTCCTGGAAATGGGAATGTCCCATGGACTTTCCAAAACAGGGGTGTCTGAGAGTCCATGGTAAATTGCAGCCACTGTGGTATACTGCCGCTGTTACCCTCTAAGCCTTGGATGAAATTATTCTAACTGGCCTTGTGATAGAGATACTTCAGGGAAATCTAGGACAAGAAACTGTCTCTTGGTAGAACAAAGAACAGCCACAGGAAGTGAGAAGTAAATGGCGGCTTCGTAAGCAAGAGCTGCTATAATATGCAGGAAAACACACAGATCCGGGGGAGGGCACCATAGATAGGCCCTTTAGCCATTTTAATTTTAATATCAAGAAAAAAATGACTCTTTGAGATGATGACTCTTGAATTACATATATACAAGAATAATACCAATATTTATTGAGTTCTTCATATGTACAACTTTTCCAAGCTCTTTCAACGTATTAACATCTTTAAGTTTTACAACCATATAATTAAGTAAACTCATTATTTCCACTTTACAGATGAAGTTGAGATAACTTGTCAAAGATCACACGACTCTTACATGGTAGAGCTGGGATTTGAACCCAGGGAGCTTGTGTAGCAGAGCATCTGTTCTTACCTGCCAAATCATACTGTCTCTTAAAAATAAAAATTAAAAATACATCTGCATTTGTTTCTCTTTTAAGGATTCAGTCATGCATTAGTGCAGACAATCAGATAAACCAAAAAAAACTGAAACAAACAAACAAAAATCTGCCTTTCTATTGACTTCATAGGCCCAAATTTATAGCTCAGCTAATATTGCCTCAGACCAGAACCATTTCTCTTTCACACAGACCGCCTTCCAGTCTAGTCTCCCTTCCTCCAGGCCTAGCTCCCTCAACTCTTTCTCTAAGTGCATTAGTTTATACAGTTTTTTTTTTTTTTTTTTTTTTTGTGGTTCTCGGGCCTCTCACTGTTGTGGCCTCTCCCGTTGTGGAGCACAGGCTCCGGACACGCAGGCTCAGCGGCCATGGCTCACGGGCCCAGCCGCTCCGCGGCATGTGGGATCTTCCCGGACCGGGGCACGAACCCGTGTCCCCTGCATCGGCAGGTGGACTCTCAACCACTGCGCCACCAGGGAAGCCCTACAGTGATTAACTTGAAACACAAATCACGTGGGTTACGTGTCTGGCCTGGGTAGAAACTACCTGACTATCTCAGTGAAGACTTCGGTAATCAGAGTACGCTCAACCAAGTCATCATCACGCCTTCCAGAATGGCTCCTTTTTTGAAGCTCATTTCTGGTTAATTGGTCCACTCTGCTCTCCTTCCTCCAACAGCTGGACTGTTGACACAGGTGGAGAAAACCATACTACTCCGCCAATCTGTGTTCTCCACGTTCTGCTGAGTCCTCAGTTCTGCCCTTCAATCGTTGTGCTCCCTTTGTTTACCGTCTTCTCTATATTCAGTTACCGCTGTAAACCTTGACCATCCTCAAGTCCCTAACACACGCCAGTCTTCTCATTATTATCTGATGGCGTTGCTTCTCACTGGAGCAAGCAGCTTTAAGCTGCTACAACTTCCGCATGGTCGTCTCCTCAGCCCTTCCACTGCTCCTATATTCTGTTGATATGTTTCATGTGGTAACAGCACTTCCTACCCCGTCACTCAAGCCTGCAGAAAGGGAGTCATCCTTCACCCTTCACCAATCCTCAATCAATTACAAGCCCTTTCCCGATACCTACCAAATCCTTTCCAGTTTTGATATTGCCTCATCATTCCTTCTAACACTGACCTAGGATGTCCTTATCAACTTTTAGAAAGTAGTTGCCATTGTTTTCTTTTGGTTTCCCTGCATCTGTTTTCTCTCCCCCTTGAAATGTATCACTCACATGTACAGCCTTTTTGAACAAGTTCAAATCCAATTTCCACCACACCATGCTCCCTTGAGTTCCCTGTGTTCTGATGTGTAGGATAAAATGTAAGCTAAGTTCCCTTTTTGGTTGTCCTTCAGTATTTTATGAGTCATGGTTTCATCAGGTTTATGTATTTTAAAGCCACTTGTGTTTTTCAGCTCTATGGCATCAGGACAAGATAAAGAGTCTTGGCATCTTGAAACTTTTTTTGCCAGCCCTGAATGGCTGGATTATCTTTATGTCTCTCAGCCCTCTGCTTCAGAATGAGAGAGGAAAAGGCAGCAGGAATTGAAGAGGAACATGTATTTTTGTTGTTGTTGTTTTCTATTTTCCTGAACTTAGGATCCAGCAGTGGTGGAATAGGCAAGTGACTTGGGCTCTGTATATAATTACCTACACAGCTGGCACACAACAAACACAGGCTCATTAGACACGTTTAAGTAAAAACACGGCATATGATAAAAGAAAGTTACCAAACAAATTTTTTTCCTTTGCAGGAGCCATGTAATATTCAAGTGAAATGGCTTTTGTGGTGCTTTCATGTATCCTCGCACCTTTGGGTGAGGATGTCTCTTTGTTCCCAAGCTTGTTCCCACATGTTCATGCAGGCACAAGTTGTGCTAAATGCACGCTATTAGAATTAACACCACATATTTTGGGAACTTGTCATGTCTGAGAACAGGAGCTTCCTCTTTTGGTGGACTGAGGCATATACTTGCTCGTTTCAGTTCACTGCTTCCTTCCCCAAAGGCTTATCATCTCAAGGAAACTGACAGCTCATTATTTCAGAACTTGGAAGAAGCCCTGGAATTGGCAAGTGTGAGCCTGTCTTCCCCACCAAGGCTGCCTCCCTGATCCTCAATTCAGTTTTACTCAATTACAGAAATATTTATTAATTGATTTAGGTTCAAAGAACTAGGCGGGGTGCCTCAGGGAGGAAAGGGAGCATAGACACAACTTCTGCTATCAGAAGTCTTATGATAGGGGCATTACACAACCCCCTGTACTATAAGGTATAGTAACGCATCCTGAGATGGACAAAGTGCTCTGTGAGAGGAACAAGGAAAAGAAAGGACACCCCTAGTGCCCTTGACCACACTCTACACAAGGGTCCGTGCAGCTCTGCCCTTTCCTAGCTGAGCAGAAAACTCATCTCAGAGCCTTTTCTTGTCTCTCCTACCACAAAGAGTTGGACTGAGAATTAAACAAAATATTTTATGTGAATTTCCTTAGTAGAGTATCCCAAAGATAGTGGGAACTTAGCAAATGTTAGTTTCTTTTGCTTTGATGGTATCTTTGAGTTGGATTCTCCCCAAAATGGGTGTGAGGTTTTCAGGCAGAGAAGGGGCCTGGAGACAGGCATTTTGGGCAGAAAGAAGATCATGAGAGGACACAGAGGTGGGGAATGGATTTTGTCAAGGAAAGAGCGAATGCTCCAGTTTTGCTACTTGGAAGTAAAGAGATGGACTTGGAAAGGTAAGTAGGGGCCAAACTGAAGGGGCAGCAATATCTGGGTAGGCAGGGTGGTGCAGTGGTCAGGCCTGAGCTTTGGAGCCAGATTGTTTAAGTCTCACTCCTGGCTCGGCCCTGCCTATTCACTGTGTGACCCAGAGCAGACTTCTAACTCTGTGTCTCAGTTCCTTCACCTATAAAATGAAGTTAATATGAATGTCTTTGCCGTATTCCTTTTCTGTGGATTAAAAGGGTTAAAATTTGTAAAGCAATTGGAAATGTGCCTGGCGCATAGTAAATGCCCAATAAAAGCTGGCCAGCTCCTATTAGCAGGCTGAAATATTCATCCTGAAGTGACATAGCCAGAAGGCATGCTACAAATGCATGCCACTCAGAGGACATTTGATCTGTGTTTACCAAGTCAATGGGCCTTTCCCATATGAGAAATGGCTCTGCCATTTACCTGATTGAGATAAGCGGAGGTTTCTTAAAAGAACAGGTGTGAACTGTTCCTCAGACTTTCTATTCTTTGGATGATACCTGTAGGCACCCCCCACCTCCATGAGGCTCCTTAGTTCCACCCCCAAAGGAGGACTGTCAGCTGCAGACTGGAACCTCCTGCCAATAGCAGACGTCACCTCTTCCTTCTTGCTGGTGGTTAGAGGACCAAGGGTATTGATCTCGGAGAGGCAGCAGTGAGCATTGGTGTAGAGAGAGATCTTAATTCCCTGGCCAGGAATTGAATCTAGATAGCCTGGATGAAAACCAGTCACCACACCCCCTGGCTCTTGCCCCCAGCGAAAAATGCATTTCTCATGGAAGCAAAAACTATAAAAACAGGCACAGAGTTTATTACTAGAGACATAGCACAACAACAAGTGGGAGAGCACACAGAGAATCAGTTTGCTTAGTTAAGATAGAAACAAGGCAGAGACGCCCACCCGGAATGAAAGGGTGTGGGCATCCTCCCTAATGAGGAGAAGTGCAGTAAAGAGGCCGTTAAGTCACTTATACAGGGCAGTTCTTCTGGGTCTTTGTTTACCTCTGGCCAATTATCTGGTTTCTTTTTCCACACCTGACCTGCCCTAGGACCCTCCCCAACATGCGTGCGCAACATTTTTCCAAGATGGATTCCAGCCCAGAGGCCTATGGGGCAGCCTTAGCATCATATATTTTGGGGTGGTGCCCCCTCTTTTTTGACCCCCAAGAAGACTTTCTGCACATGTGCAATGTCTCCCTTTCCCGAAGGTTGGGAAATATATGATGTCTTGATCCTTTATTCAAACAAGGGTTAGGCCCCCTCTGTTCCTGCCATGACTGTTATCTTAAGGTGTACACAGGAGACAAAGCCTGGTTATTTACCATGTTTCTGTTGTTACTTCCATTTCAGAGAGCAAACAGGAGGCTGACTGTAAGTGCCTAACCTGGAGCCCACCTATCTCCTGTCTCAGGAAATGCAAACAGGAGGCTAGTTGTAAGTGTCCAGCCTGAAGCCCACTTTTTTCCTGCCTCGGTATCATGCTAGACAGAATGATGACTAAGTGGCCAGAGATCAGCTTGAATAATAATATAATAGTTCAGATTTTCAGGAACTAAAATCCTCACTTTCACGAAGAAACTACCGGAGCCCTCTGAAACGACTATTCAGAGATTAGAGACCTGCCCAGGCAAGCTCCAGTTCCTGTTCCCTTCATGGCTGCTCTCCAGAGGCTGGATGTATCGAGGGGCCACCCACAGAGGGATGTTCTGGGGCCCCGAGCCTACTTCCCCCAGACCTTATCTCTAGCTGGTTCATATATTTGTGGGATATGTCTGTGTCCTTTGGGTTAAGGGCATGGATCGCCTCTGAGTAAGAGACAGGTGGTTGGGATTAAATCTTTTGCTTTCAGAAAACCCATTAAGTGAAAACTTCAATCCACACGTGGTGTGGAGGAGAGAAATTATATCCAGTGCTAAACCTGGGACCTAATCTCTCAGCAAAAAGAAATTAGGAGGGGAACCGTGTGTGTGTACTATAACTCTACGGTGAAGTGGATGAGGGTGAATACCATACCTTCAGACTAGGCATAAAGGTACTGGGGAAACATGAAACCCAAGGACATTTGGAGAGCCCTGTCCTTCTTATTGTACAGTCTTGAAAGTGGACTTAAAAGTCGGTGGGGGGACAAACTCTTTTGGACTCAGGTGCTGAGCTGACTGAACTTAAGTGCTTGCTGATTGCAGGAGAACTGAGAAATGGTACCCGCCCAGGGCCCATGGGAATTCACAGCTGCTCCTGCTGTGGGAAAGAAGCTACCAGTCCAGAGGCCACCATGTCCTTGACAAGTTGGGTTCAGGTGCAGCCCCTCCCACTGGAAAAGAGGGACCTTCAGTCCCAGCCCACTTGTTACCAATCCACAGAGACGTCCTGGATCATTGCACAAGCATCATCCCTGGAGTTGCACACTGGAGAACCACAAGTTTTGATTGGGGAGGGAGAGTCTGAGCTCTGCTCTCGCTCCAACAGCAATGGGGGGTTGTGGAGGACCCAGGGGCTGTCACTGCAGCATTCTGATGATCATGGAAACTACACCCATGTCACCCCGGATATTCAAGATGGTGAAGGGTCCCAAACCACACCCTCAGAAAACAGTTAAAAATACTTCAGAATGTTTAGCTGGGATGGACTAGGCTCAAGTTTAATGGTCACACAGAAGAAAGAAAAGGGACTTATTCAGTGTAATTCCAGACCTAATAGTAATGAGCAAATTTCACCTCAATATAAAAGCAAATGAAAACACAATTAGGGCTGCCCAGCAATGGATGAAATGGTACCCTTCAGAGTCCTCTATCACTGGAGGTACCGAAGCAGATCCCGGGGGCCATCTGCCAACCAGTACGTAGGCAATATTTCTGCGTTGGGTGAGGGTTAAAGTAATAAAGGAAGTTTATCCTTGACCCACACTTATCAAGGCTGTTTTTGCTCTTTCAATGACCCAAATTCTTACATTGCTTTCATTTTGCTTCCTAGAACCCCAGAGAATTAAAGAGTTTTGTGTTGCTTTTCTAGGTTCTATAAAGGATCTTAGGGATCATATAGATCAATCTCACCCAGTTTCGCTGATGGAGAGACTGAAGTGCAAATGTTAGGTGGCTTCTAAGGTTACATATTTGTTAAGTGGTAGAACAGCAATATGAACTCACGACCTGGAGTACCATGATGGTTTCCCGACTGGTTTACTTCCCTCCATTTTCTCCCCAATGCTATTCATCCTACACATTCTACACATATACCAGATTGATATTCCTAAAACACAGATCTAATTATGTCATTGCTGTATTTAAACCATTTCAAAAGCTCCCTGTGCTCTTTAAAAATATACTTAGGGTTCTTTATTACGGCATTTAAGGTTCAACCTTCCTGGTTTTATCTCCAATTCCAACCCCTAAACCCAGTCCTTTTCATACACTAAGATGTTAAATGAGTATTGAATACAATTGGTTTTGGGAATATCAGTTTTATTTCTTAGACTATTTCTTGCCATATTCCTCCTTCGTAGGGTTTGCTGATCATCTGGTTGTAACAAACCTCAGAATTTTTAAAATGTGCCGTTCTTCAGGAAAATCAGCACAAGATACCATGGACCATGTTTTGACCAGTGTTGCATTAAGGGAGCTTCAAATGAAAGCCTATAAATGTTGGAGGAAAAAATCCTACTCATATCCCACTTCCAAGAATTTCTTAATAATTCCTCTTTCTTTCACCATAAAAATAAATCAGAGCTTTTAAAACATGCCTTCCAGATACCGACTTCTCAGAAATCACTCTGCAGTTGTGTGAGAGCATGTGCCTTCACAAGACCAACACTAACATCTTTAGTATTTTAAGAGAAAAGATCAAATCCCTGAATGCATTTCAAAGCCAAATTGAAAGGACTCCTCCAGAAACACTGAAGACATCTGTAATTCTGGGCTGTAACAGGAGTGAGAAAATAAAATGTATTAAATCACAAATTAAGCTGAATTCATGACAGTGATTACGTCGACACTGCTCTTACAGCCATCATTTCCATTAGTGACTTGCAATCTATACTCGCCAACTTCCATGTCAAATGAGCCAGGATCCTACTCTTTTTAGGATGAAAACTGGAATGACTTGTGATGGACCTGTTATTTGCCAGAGTGTATGAGTTAGCTTTTACTTCCTAACAACTTACTACCCAAACTTAGTAGTAAGCTTAAAACAGTATGTATTGGATTGTCAGAGGGTGGTAGACCTGCACTCAATACCTCAAACAAACCAAAACATAAAACTGAATTTATTGCTGACATAGTAGGGAAGAGCTATGTTGATCAGGAACAGTCTCTCCAAGCAGAGCAGACTACTGATCTTACAGAGAGTTTGGGGAAATCAGTGAAGTTCAAAGATGGGTGGATTTTCATGGTCATCATCTGTTTAATCACGGTTACTTGAATGAGACTGTTGCTCAGAGGTGTGCTAACTGGAGTGAATTTATTCCAGATTGACTGATTTACAAAAGTGAGATGTTAATAATACGCATAGGTTGGGCTTGCAAAAGCAGGTTTAATGAGGCAAGTTGTAGTTCATCTATTAAATGGGTTTAAAATTGGTATGGTGGTTATTTGTTTGCATGGCTACAGAAGCATTGGTCTTTTTATAAGAGTGTATAAATTAGGCAATGCCAAAGATGATTTCCAATGATCTCTGCTTCATGCTATCGTGACTTGTGCGATTCCCTCCCCTTGAATGTGGACTGGATTTAGTGACTTGCTTCTGACAAACAGAATGCGGTAGAAGTAATAAGATGTCACTTCCAAGATTAGGTTAAAAAAAGACCACGGCTTCGGCCTTGGGGGAGTCATCTTTCACTTGCTTTCACTTGGATTTCTCACTTGGGGGAAGTAAGCTGCCATGTTGTGAGCAGCTCTGCTCAGAGGCCCATGTGACAAGAAACTGATATTTTTAGGTTTTCCCTCAGGTGATCATATAACTTTAGTGATGATGTAATTGCACAAGGAACACTGCCTAGAGAGCCAGATGCGTAGACAGCATTGTAAATTATAATCTGAGTTGTATCTAATTTCTCAAGTGGCCATTGAAGCTCTTGCTTCCTTTAGCGACTTGTTTATCTGTTTCATTTTCTGGGTTCTTGTCCACACAAACGCTCATACTAGCTTTTAACAGACCATGTCCATCTGACCATGCCAACTTCCACTCTAACACAATGTTTTTTCCATATGTATTAGTACTCATCATTGCAAAGAAAATTGATTCCAGCTCCTTCAATAACAGAAAAACTGATCTTGAAATTCACTGTAAGAAAAAGAGCAAAATAGACAATATTCAATCCACTTCTCCAACCTTATAAAGGCAATTCTTTGTCTTCACATTTGTCGCACTAAACAGTTGTTCAAAATTAAGAATCTTATATGGTTTACTATGAAGCAGACTCATTAAATGTAATTTATATAACTGGTTATTGTAATGCTTCCTTCATCAAACTTTCTAAAGAAATATCCATTGATTATTATGTAGCATAAAGAAATATTATTTATAGGGAAAAAAGGAGTTTGTAGTTAAAAAGCCAGTAACCAGTTCCTTTTCAGAAAAAATAACCTAAGTCCAATCCTATTTCTGTGGAGACAAACATCATATTAAAGTGCTGCTGAGAATATTTTTTCCAGAAATATAGCATATTGTTAGTGTGAATGAGAGTATTTTATACTTCGTAAGTATTTATTTTGTCTATGGATATAGGGAGAGTCTTATAAGTAAAGAAGGAAGAGGTGCACTGACTATTACTTAGAAATTTTAGTTTTTTTTAAATGCTCTTTTTATATCTGTATTATAGTAAAATCATTCTTAGAGGATGTCCCACACTATAAGATCAAGAATATAGAAACATCGATTTAGATAAAATCCACCATAGACTAAATAATATTGAATTCCATGTGATAATAGTTATCTTCTTATACAGTATATTATATATTTTGTGTGCTTTTGTGTGGTATATTATATTTTCATGTGCTTTTTAATGCAAAATGGAGTCAAAGAAGCTGGTAGATACTTAAGTAATCAGAATTTTCTGATGGTTTCTTGTTCATAAATGCAGCATATACTTCAAATATCTATCAAAGCCTCAAACCTAGTATTTTTATAGCAAATTAGAAGTACAAGGGATTTGCTCATTTGTTTCTTCACAACAGCCATATAATATTTTACCCCTAAGAAAACAATATATGAGGAAATTTTATAGAGGAAAGTTCTGATTATCAGAGGGTTATGGCTTGCCCAGAATCAGTCAGCCAGCGAAAGGACTAATCAGAACCACACTCAGGTCTTCTGGCTCCAAACACGTTCTTTCCATTTCGTCACATATCTTTATATATCTTTACCCACCAGCCTCCTATAACCATTCTATTTCTCACGTCCAAAGGCACTGAATCCATTCTTTGAGAACCGCACATGGGAAACGCAATATGTATGAGTGCTCCCTCAGCAATCACAGAGCCCAGTGAGCCTTCACAGTCTAATCACTTGTTAATTATATTAGCAGGCATTCTGAGGGTGTGGCAAATCACAAATACATAATGCATCCTATTGAATAAACTCAAGACCAAACAATAAGCATCAAAGTTCCTTGGTGTGGGGCATAGTTCTCTCGTCTTGAATTCGGTATAAACATGTACATACATTTGTTGTTTGTATTCTTTTGAATATTCTTAGTAAAACTTCATGTTTTTAAAACTCATCATAATATGAATAAGAGAAAGACCCTTGTATCTGTAAAGTGGTTTATAGTTTATAAAGCACTTTCAAATGCATTATTTATTTAGTCCTCCCACCAAGTTGTGAAGTAAACAGATAGCAATTGTCCTCATTTTATAGACATAAAACCAAAACTCAAAGAGGTTTATATTCCCTTGAGTTTAGACAACTCTTAGGTGCAGGAGGCAGCTCACCTAACATAAGAGCTGGAAGGAGCTTCCTTAGATATTAGGAAGGGCAGGATTTCCCAGTGTGTGTTCTGTGCCTCACTGGTTTTGTGAGATGCTCTATAGCAAGGGGTGCAGTGCTCCAATAAATATAAGAAACACCGCATATTATATTCCCTACTTGAGAATCACAATGCATATTGGCATAAAAAGGCTCTGAGATGTATTATTTTTTTTTAAGTTGATTTTGTTCAACTCAGAGTTTCCAACAATTGACTCAATCGAGCAAAACTGTTTTGCAAAACGTTGACCTAGTGTAACCCTCACATTAAGGAGATGAGAGAGCTGATGTTCAAAAATATAAAATATTTATTTAAGACAACACAATTACTTACATTAAAGTTAAGGATGGAACTTAAATCTCCAAATTCAGCCTCAACGTTCTTTCTAATATCCTACACGGCTTCTCTGTACTTAAATGCTTCTCTATTCTAGAAAGAATAATTTGGCTGGTCTTCATATTCAAAATTAGAGGCATATTTTGAATAAAAATCTTGTAAAAAGGAAAAGAGACCATCCTTAGTTCCTAATTCACTTTTGTGCTAATCAAAAAAATCTCGATGATAATATTTGCCATTCCCCTGTGCCAAGATTATTAATAATTTTTAAAGCTTTTAACAGACTTTCAAGTTAAATGTTTTTACAGATGAAGTCACTGAGGCTCTGAGAAATAAAATAACTTGAGGAAGGTCATCCATTTATTAAAAGGAGGAGCCATGATTTAAAGTTGAGTCTATCTGACTTCAAACCTGTTCAGCAGTAACATTCTGAGGACCCCATTTTTGGCTTTCTAAACATTTTTATTGGAGTATAGTTGATTTACAATGTTGTGTTAGCTTCAGGTGTACAGCAAACTGAATCAGTTATAAATATACATATATCCACTCTCTTTTTTTTCCCCCATGTAGGCCACTACAGAGTATTGAGTAGAGTTCCCTGTGTTACACAGCAGGTTCTTACTAGTTATCTATTTTATATATAGTAGCGTGTATATGTCAATCCCGATCCCCCAATTTATCTCTCCTCCCTCCCCCTTGGTAACCATAAGTTTGTTTTCTACATCTGTGACTCTACTTCTGTTTTGTAAATAAGTTCATTTGTACCCTTTTTTTGATTCCACATATAAGTGATATGTGATATCTGTCTTTCTGTGTCTGACTTACTGCATTCAGTATGACAACCTCTAGGTCCATCCATGTTGCTGCAAATGGCATTATTTTGTTATTTTTATGGCTGAGTAATATTCCATTGTATATATGTACCACATCTTCTTTATCCATTCCTCTGTTGATGGACATTTAGTTTGCTTCCATGTCCACTCCTGGGCATATACCCAGAGAAAACCATAATTTGAAAAGATACATGCGTCCCAATGTTCATTGCAGCACTATTTACAATAGCCAGGACATGGAAGCAATCTGAGGGCCCCATTTCTTTTCAAAGAGATCCTTGAAGGCTGACTACTCTCCTTTTCAGATGACGACTACTGCAATAAATTTTAAAGGGTAGGCAAATCATACAGGCAGAAACAAAACAATAAAACCTCTACATAGATTAAGCAGAATGGGAACAAACAGAATACGTAAGGAAGGGAAAAGTAGGTAGTTATAACTGCAGTAGACACCATATGCATTCTCTTCTTAATGCCTCCAATTCTGCAATAAGTATTTTTTAAATATAAGACCAAAACCCTGCAGCACTTTTAAATTTTCTTTATACTATAAACCAAGCTAGCAATCACTGGCACAGTAATGAGGTTTGTCAGAGGATCAGTATTTCAGGTCTAATGGAGCCTCAAAGGTCTTTGGCGTTTAACCAGGACTTGAATTCCACCTGTAACATCCCCAAAGGTGGTCATCTGTAATGAAAGGACATCTTAACATCTCTGGAGGGAGGCCATTTTATTATTGGACAACTCCAACTTCAGGAAATTCACTGACTAGACTGTATACCACTTAAAAGCAGGATGCATTCCCATCTTGCTCAAACTACATCCCTAGTGTCTAGCAAGAAAGAATCCATCACTAAGCCCTTTATTTTTTTATTTTTTGGCTGCATTGGGTCTTTTGACCTGTGTGCCCTGCACTGGCAGGCAGATTCTTAATCACAGTGCCAACAGGGAAGCCCTTTCTTTTACTTTTTTGAATGATCAAATGGTACTGACATGAAATATTTCTTCTTGTAATGTTTATCCCATTATTCTAACTCTGTTTTCTGGGCAGAAGTTAAGTGATTTTCCCAGAAGGTATACCTGGGCAAGGTACCTAGGAAACAAAATAAAATCTAGGTATCTTTTAAAAATTGATATATAATTCAGATACTATAAAATTCACCCCTTTAAAGTATAAAATTCGGTGGTTTTGAGTATATTCAGAGAATTGTAAAACCATCATCACTATCTAATTCCAGAACATATATATCACCCCTCCCAAAAAATAACCCTACCCATTACTAGTTATTCCTCATTCCCCCTTCACCCAAATCCCTGGTCACCACTTTCTGCTCTATGATTATGGACATTCCATATGAATGCAATCATATCATATGTGGCCTTCTGTGTCTGGCTTCTTTAGAGTAATATTTTCAGGATCAACAATGTTATCGGATACATCAATACTTCATTCCACTTATGACCAAATCACATGGATATACCACATTTTGTTATCCACTCATGGGTTGATGGGTATTTGAATTGTCTCCACTTTTTGTCTATTATGAATAATGCTGATATGAACATTCATGTACAAATTTTGTGTGAACATATGTTTTCAGTTCTCTCGGGAATGTAACTGGGATTGGAATTGCAAGGATATATGGTAAATCAATGTTTAACATTCTGAGGAACTATCCACCTCTTTAACAAAGCAGGTACATCATTTTATAATCCTACCAGCAAGGTCAGAGAGTCACAACTTCTTCACATCCTCATCAACACTTGTTGCTTTCTATTTTATTCTGTTTGGTTTTTTAAATTATAGCCATCATAGTGGGCATGAAGTGGTATCTCATAGGGTTTTGATATGCATTTCCCTGAAGGCTAATAATGTTGACCATCTTTTCATGTACTTATTGGCCATTTGTATATCTTCTTTGGGGAAATGTCTATTTAGATTCTTTGCCTATTTTTTAATTGGGTTGCCTTTTTATTTTTAAGTTGTAAGTGTTCTTTATATATTCTGGTTAAAAGTCCCTTATCAGATATACAATTTGAAAATATCACATTCTTTGACTTGTCTTTTTATTTTCTTGACAATACTCTTTGAAGCACAAGTGTTTTTAACCATGAAGAAATCCAACTTGTCAACTTTCTCTTTCATT